TTAAATCAACAAAGCCAAAACATAAGGATGAACTCAAGCCACAATGGAAGTGCTAATGACTGGTATGGCATGTTTATTTAACATTTATTTGCACAAACAAAAGTTCTACTAGATCTATAATAAACATTGCAAATGTGAACTTTATTTGATTGTTATCCTTTGGAGAACCTATAAAAACTTTACTAAAATTTAACTTTATTTTTTAACTTGTCAGAGACTGCATTTCTTAACTAAATACACTCAAACAAACCTTTACATATGCAGCCGTAATTTAATAGATAAATTCAAACGTTTTCGACCATATTCAATGGTCTTTATCAAGAAAAAACTGAACAATCAAACTTCGAACTAAAAATTTGCATTACCAATACAAGCGTTATTTTTGGAATGTTTTTAAAAAGATATTCTATCGTATAAGTGCCATCTCTACATATTACATTATTTTAATATTATAATACTCATATCTGGTATTATTTTAACTACTGTAATTACAGCCAATATGTAGAGATGGCGCTTATACGATAGAATATCTTTTTAAAAACGTTCCAAAAATAACGCTTGTATCGGTAACGCAAATTTTTAGTTTGAAGTTTGATTGTTCAGTTTTTTTCTTGATAAAGACCATTGAATATGGTCAAAAACGTTTGAATTTATCTATTAAATTATGGCTGCATATGTAAAGGTTTGTTTGAGTGTATTTAGTTAAGAAATGCAGTCTCTGACGAGTTATATCAAATATTACTGTTCAATGAGTATCTAAAGGAGATTTTTGATATTGCATGCCCCAATTTTGGCATATTTTCAAAAAGCAGTTACAAATTTTGCATTGATTTATGTTTGTTATGTTGAAATAGAAAAAAAATCTTAATCTCTGACTATATTTTATACCTGGCTCCAGACTTGTCTTTTATAGCTCATGTGGCTCTTCTCAAAAAGAGGTTGGNTAAGGAAAACACTGAAAAATGCATTTTGTAGTTGTAAATGTATAAATAACCATAATAGAATAATAATTGATTAAAAAATTTTAGTTTTATTTGCACTTTACCTTTGAGGATAGACGACGGTGGAGGTGTAAACTGGTGGAGGAAGAGAGGGAGAAGAGAAATGATACTAAAACTTAACTTACATAACATAATGTAACAATAACTTAAAAATAACTTAGAAAAGATAAAAAGAAAATTAGTGTTGTTTTATATATTTTTTAAAAATTTTTATTCACTGCTTTTTGCTTCCTTTCCTTCACTTCCACCAGCACTTTCACTGCATAGCGGTCGCTTGGTAAATTATCTATCCAAAGAGGTTTGGCTTTTCCTACTTTTTAAAATGTTTCTAAAATGACTTAGGCAAATTTCATTACTCTGAGCAGCAATATGGCCAGTGTGAACCTTTTCGGGATGTTTCTTTTCAATAAAATCAGTCGCTTTCTGATAATACCTCAAGATTTCCTTTATCGAGCGAGATCCTTCCACGATGAAGCAAACATGCGGACTGAGACTGATGAACAGAAATGAATAAAAAATGGTGCTGCGAACTAATGTAATGTTGTATGGTGAGTTTTTTGTTCATATCATGGAGCAAAAATATGTTTGAATTTCATGTCGTATCCTGAAAATTTCGTATGATGGGATGTTCGTATCCCGAGGTACCACTGTATATAAATGAATATTGAATATATGGTAGAATCTGGTTATTGTAGTCATTTTGAGAGATAGCTATACTGATGACAATGAATGACTGATAACATATTGTTTTATTTATCATAAATTTCTATGTATATCCTGCACCCCTGTACCTGCTTTCAAATTGATATTAAAATATAATTATGGTACTTATTGGCCTTAGTTAATTCAAATTCTAGTTTTATTAATTCTGACTTAAAAGAGAATGATAAAGTAATTAAAAATTGTATGACTATAAGATTTATTTATTATTATTAATTAATTTGAAGATATGAATGAGATGATGTTCAATGTTAAGTCAAGAAACCTTAACTGTAATAGTACTTTTAATTGTAAATATATTTTAAACTACAGTAATACCCCGACTTACACGAACCCGGNATATAATAATAATAATAATAATAATAACTATAGTAAGGAAAACACTGAAAAATGCATTTTGTAGTTGTAAATGTATAAATAACCATAATAGAATAATAATTGATTAAAAAATTTTAGTTTTATTTGCACTTTACCTTTGAGGATAGACGACGGTGGAGGTGTAAACTGGTGGAGGAAGAGAGGGAGAAGAGAAATGATACTAAAACTTAACTTACATAACATAATGTAACAATAACTTAAAAATAACTTAGAAAAGATAAAAAGAAAATTAGTGTTGTTTTATATATTTTTTAAAAATTTTTATTCACTGCTTTTTGCTTCCTTTCCTTCACTTCCACCAGCACTTTCACTGCATAGCGGTCGCTTGGTAAATTATCTATCCAAAGAGGTTTGGCTTTTCCTACTTTTTAAAATGTTTCTAAAATGACTTAGGCAAATTTCATTACTCTGAGCAGCAATATGGCCAGTGTGAACCTTTTCGGGATGTTTCTTTTCAATAAAATCAGTCGCTTTCTGATAATACCTCAAGATTTCCTTTATCGAGCGAGATCCTTCCACGATGAAGCAAACATGCGGACTGAGACTGATGAACAGAAATGAATAAAAAATGGTGCTGCGAACTAATGTAATGTTGTATGGTGAGTTTTTTGTTCATATCATGGAGCAAAAATATGTTTGAATTTCATGTCGTATCCTGAAAATTTCGTATGATGGGATGTTCGTATCCCGAGGTACCACTGTATATAAATGAATATTGAATATATGGTAGAATCTGGTTATTGTAGTCATTTTGAGAGATAGCTATACTGATGACAATGAATGACTGATAACATATTGTTTTATTTATCATAAATTTCTATGTATATCCTGCACCCCTGTACCTGCTTTCAAATTGATATTAAAATATAATTATGGTACTTATTGGCCTTAGTTAATTCAAATTCTAGTTTTATTAATTCTGACTTAAAAGAGAATGATAAAGTAATTAAAAATTGTATGACTATAAGATTTATTTATTATTATTAATTAATTTGAAGATATGAATGAGATGATGTTCAATGTTAAGTCAAGAAACCTTAACTGTAATAGTACTTTTAATTGTAAATATATTTTAAACTACAGTAATACCCCGACTTACGCGAATTTGACTTACGCGGTTATCGCTCGGTCCCACCTATCGCGTAAGTCCGGGGTATGACTGTATAATGGTATTTTAACAGTAAAACATTTTTAACTGTAAGTAAGTAATTTTAAACGGAATGTATACATGTCAACATCACCTACAAGAAATCTTGAAAGTCATGCCAACAGATGAGGAGCTTATGCCTGAAATGCATATCAGCCTATAGGATATTCCAAATAAAGATGATGTAGAAATGCCCAGTGTCTATCTATGCACCTAGTCGTGACGATAAAAACATATTAATTAATAGTTAATCATCAAGTGGTGCTTGCTTGCCTTTAACAACATCTAACACATAATTGCAATGGCCTTTAACAACGTCTAACACATAATTGAAGTAAAAAATTAGAGAAATTTCAAAATACAACAGATATCAATAACAATTAAAATGATTAATGCTTAAAACAACGGTTAACTGATAATTATTGCATGTTATCAATCACATATTGAGATTGATAGTGCAAAAAGAGCTTACAAATATCTATTTACTCAGTGATGGTAAGTATAACCAAATTCTGGTTACAATAAGTGAAATATAACAAGTGTATTTTGAACTTGCATATTTTGGGGTTGCTAATTTTGATAAAATTGAATGATTAATAATGATATTTTTGATTGCAATGAGCATATTCTATCGTATATTACCAGGGTGGCCAAGCTCCTTGATAGTCCGAGCCATTTTTCAAAATTTGAAATTTTTCGTGAGCCGCAATTAAATACGTATTAAAAAAGTATGCAAAAAATTCCAGATTACGAATTATATCCGTAGCAAGAGTGATACAAATTGTTTCCTCCAGAACACAATGTCAACTGTCCGTTGCAATGACAGTTTACAAATTCAAAATCGGTCTGGAGTCAGTTGATAACGGACGATTACGCCACTGTTTATGTTCGTTCGCGCAGTTTTCAATGAGTAATATCATTCTTAACTTGGACGGAAATGAAATTTGTTACAACGTTGCACTTAGTCTTTCAAATTTGTTGTTAGTAATTTAAAAGACATTTTGAAACACATACGGAACGATAATAATTTTTAAAAATATAATAACACAAAAATGAAAAGGGAACTCGGGTACATTTATTGAGAGCCACAAATAATCCTTCAAAGAGCCGCATGTGGCTCGTGAGCCGCAGGTTGGCCACCCCTGGTATATTACATTGGAGATGTAGTTTTAACATAAGCTGCATTACCCTGCAAGTTGATTTAAATATTATTATTGTTCACAAGTAGCTGCATTCAAAAGTTTGATTGTACAAAATTATTATTATTGCTTGTAGTTTAATATCTCAATAAAATCTGGAATTTCTTGTATAAAATCACAGAACTTTTGTACTTTTTTACTTTTTTCAACAATAACGTTAATCACAGAACAAACATTTTGGCTCAGGTTAGAAACTGTTTCAAAGAACTTTTTAGCTTTGTGCAAACTATAGATGAATCAGTTAATTGTTTCCTTTTGTAAATGGATATTTATATCATTAAAAATATTTTCATCCATCTTATGTTAAGGATTAATAGAATGAGAGATATTTTCTGTTAGCTTAATGAAAATATCAGTATGTTTTATATGCAGAAAATTTAATATGCACTTAGCAATTGAATAATAATAAATTTTAATGATAGATTCATGTAATAATCAAAACTTCATCTCAATTAAGTCTTAATTTATTTGAAATAAAATGTAATGTTTAGCTTTATTATTATTATTGAGTTTTATATATATATTTCTAAATATTTAATAAAAAAATTTTTACAGATCGTTTGTATTTTGCAACTTTTCGCATCACAGGAAAAGTTAAGTCTACACAAACAATTCACTATTTTTGTATAGATGAAGATTTAATTTATGAAAAGTAAGTAATATGTTATTTTTTTATTTATTGTGTTCTAACTTTTTTAAAGAATTCTCAGATTTACATTGTTTTAGATTAAATTTAACAAGTATGTTTGATTTGATTTCTTTCACTACAGTTTATTTTATTTGTTTATGATGATTTGACACATGAGAAACGTGATGAGGGAGAATTATTAAAATTAAGAAATCATTAATGAGACGAAGAGACAATGAGCATTTTTAATTGAGATAATCCCTTTTGATCTAAAAACTAATACATGAATAACATAGAATGTACTGTACATCTAATAGATGAGGTTCTGTATGATAGCAAGTCAAAATTACTTGGGTGAGACAAAGGGCTAAGGAGATTTTTTTTTTCTTTGTCTAATGTAGGTCCACCGTAGAGATCTACCTTAGACAAAATTGGTACCAAAACAAATTGGTTCTTAGTTGTAAGCACCAACAAGAATGTCTCCTGGGAGGACTTATTATGGAAAACTGGCTCCTATTTAAATGTTACTAATGTGAATAAAAACTCAGAAAACTCTATGTGGCCAACCTGTTGCCAACATAGTCATTTAATTCATTCATTTCTAGTAACAATAAATTATGTACTATTGCAAAAATGCTGGCTCAAAACTTTTAAAACTTTTTGAAATTTCAAAGTTTTGAAAATCATGTTTCAAATCTTTGCAGATTTAAAAAGCTGAAGATTCCCTATATGGCACTACATCAACTGCCATATAATATTGGGTTATTTATTGGTGATAATAATTAGGATCAAATTTATTAGTAATTTATAATTATTATTGCCAATAAATAGCCTGATGTTATACAGCATTTGATGTAGTGTTATTGTGATGTATCAGGTTTCATAAGATGTTTATATCCCTATATGGCTTTTATAAATTTTTAGAAATGTTCTAAGAAAATGAGTAGTGATACTTTTTAATCTTCTAAGATTTTTTTTTGTTGTTATATATCTAAAGTAATTGTTTGAATTTATCATAGATGCAGATATTTTTTAAACATTATTTGACAATCCAGATAATAATTAATTGCAAAATATTACCAGAAATTAGTGAATTTCAGTAATCTATGGCAATAGTAATTTTTAGTGATACCTGACAAATATTCTTTATACATACAGTAGTTAAACATTTCTAATTTTAACAAATACTAACTAAAGCCTTAAGAAGAAATAACATTAAATAGCAGATAGTTTTCAACTTACTGTCTAAAACTAAAATTATAAAATTAAATTTGTTTTTATTATTTGCTGTATTTGGATAACAGCTGTTAATATAGCTAATAAATTGCTTCTATAAATTTTATATTAGTCTATTTTTGTATGAATATTCGTCTGTGATGAATATTTTATTTATTTTTTGAATGATTTTTTTTTACATGGCTCCTTTATCATTGAAACAAATTATGTTATAAAGACAGTCTAATCAATAAACTGGAATTATAAAATTATCATATATTAATTTAAAGGATTATACAAATCATTTCAAATAATCTAATGCAGTTTTTATTATATTTACTTTTGATATTAATGATTTTTGATTAAATCTGTTAATGTTGTATTTGGATGGTTTTCAGTATATAAAATTTAAATTTTTATTGATATTGATAGTTATTAAAATCTATATGATTTCAAAAATCATCAGAAAACAAAAATATGCTGATGTTATGAGTTATTAGTTTGTTAAATTTGGTTAACATAAATTATTCTATTGAATGTATAAATGTAGCTCGCAATACAAACAATTTCTAAACAGTTGTATAAACTGATTAGTTGTTTTTAAATATTGATTGCATTATTTTATTTATTGCAATATTTATTATATTATTACAATCAAATACATTGAAAAATATTGTGAACATATATCTCTTGTTATAAAATTTTAATTGGTATAGTATAGAAAGGACTTCAAACTTGTAGTCTCATTATTGAAAGAATTTGTTGACTCAGAAATTTTAATAGATTGTGGCACAATATAGAATGACTCAGAAATTTTTTTCTTTAAAAATTTATTGTAATAACCATCATAAAAATTTAATATCCCAACTAGGTTTAGGTTGAAAATCATAAGTTTAAATATATGTGTAATAAAGATTAACCAGATTTAATTATTTGAATCACACTATATTTTGTCTGTTGAAATACTAATATCAATATTAGATCAATAATAGTTATTTTTAAAATTCAAAACTGAAAACAAACAATTCCAATTTGTGTTAAGAAAACAATAGTTCATTTTGAAATTTCAAAGTATTTTTATTTATTGGAATTTATTTGGATTTTTCAATTAAATAATTTATATATGTGATATGTTCATAGATAAATTGTAATTTGAAAATGAAACAAAAAACAAAAGTCATGCATCATCATACTTTTTAATTTGATTCCTCCCCTTTGCCATCAGTTGGGTAGCTTCTGGATTCCCTTAAAAAGTCTTTTGGCTGCAGATATACTCTCACTTGAACAGCTTCAGTTATGGTACTTCTTTAGAGGTAAATGGTAACTGGTTATACAGAACAGTGAATAAAAATGCAGACTATTACTCAAGTTTCCTAGCGGGACTAGTGAAAATGGTTATTCAAAACAAGAAAAAAAAGTCAAACTTCCATATGCTTCTTATAGGACAATGCCTGTGTACTCATTGTTGCCTACAATATGTAGATAGGTAGCAATGATTCTGAAATTGAAGTAGACCCTTTTTTCCCATCCTTTCTTCCTCCTCCTCCTCCCATCAGTTTCCAATCTTCCCTGTCAGATTTATATCTATTTGGACTGCTTAAAGAATATTTAGGAGAAAAAGTTTACTTCTAATGAAGAAGTAATTGTAAGTATTTGAGAGTGGTTAAGTCTGCAGCTGAAAGATTTTTTTCTTACAGAAAATACAGAAGCTATATCCAATTAATGATTCCAATGTATTGCAAAGAAGAGGTGTTACATTAAAAAATAAGGTAATAAATATTAATGTATGATTTTTGCATTTTGTTTAATTATCAAATTATCATTTATATTTGAACATGCTTTATATATAAGATAAAGTTATGTCATATTTTAATTAAAAAAAATAGTGAATTTCAAATTTTCTTGTGAAATTCACTATTTTTTATATATATATA